CCTCTGTCACCCTCTTTGTCACCCCCTCTCCTCTTTGTCACCCCCTCTCTCTCTCTGACCCTCACCCTCTCTCATTCTCTTACCCCCTCTCTCCCACCCTGTATCACCCCTCACCCTCGATATTCATATAGAGATACATAGATAGATAAAGATCATCATCATAGTCCTTTATATCCTGTCAGACAATCAGATATTAGATATATGAACATTATATGTTGATATATTTTAATTGATATATAAAGTTAACATATGTATCAAGTTTGATAGATTTATTAACTTATATGTTCCTTTATTCCTTTATTACAATACCCTTTAGCCAAAAACTGGCTTGTCTTCCAGGGTTCATATATGTATGTGACATCTTCTTTTCAAGCTTTCTTTATACATATAAATTGTCCCATAACAGGTTTGGTTCTATTTACAGCCTTATTTATTACCTGTATCACCACCCTGCTGTCCCTCAGCCATTTTTCTCTCTCATCTGTGCAGATAATTCAAGTGTTCTGTACATGGAGTGCTGAGTGTGCAATCAAACCTAAAACAGATACATGTTCCTAAGGTTATCTGAGGGTATTGTCAAACCTACTAAAATGGACTTTTCCCCATCTCACATCTCATCCCCATGCAAACATGGAATAAAATTAGCTTAATAATATGTTTTTTTAAGCACTTTTGGGTTAGGGTTTAGGATCAGCCTGTCAATAGACTAAGAGGGCCTGCAAGCCCTTTTTCGTAAGGCGTAATCAGCCCATTTTAGACTTTGTAATTCGTAGGCAGCCTCCGCAAAAATCAACGTAATTCGTAATTGGACATTAACGTTAGCCGAAAGTCGTAATCAGCTCTGAAACTTTAACGTAATTCGTAATAGTCGGCGAGAATTTTGCGTAATTCGTAATCACTATCCCCCCCCTTGCAGGCCCTCGACTAAGTGTAAATACAAATGTAAAATCTGATTGAAAGACACTTATAAATTTTGCTCTCCAAGCAGAGATTGATGGGGGAAGATCGTTACCTTTTTATACTCAGTGTACCTAAGACGCGCTTTATTTCCCCCAGCAAAGACCTCATTTTAATATTATAATGACATTGAAATGAGCAAGGTGCGAGTAGAAGATCGTAAATATGCAATAGGTCTGGTGATAATTGCTGTAGTTTCACCACCCACAGCCCCTCCTGCTATTTTGCATTTGTATTGAGCTAACTTCACACCCTCTTTGTATTTCCAGGCAGTGTTCCATGTTAGAAGACTTCATAGTTTGAAACATGCTTGAAAAGAAAGTAAAAATGAAAAACATTTTCTTAAATACAGCATGAATCCACCAGATATAAACTCAAGTCTATATAACAGGGTCTTATAAATTGGCGATGGAGCCCCGATTTCAACTGTGCGTGGTTATAACCTCCTTCATTTCAGCCGTGTTCAGAGAATCTTTGTTCTCCATTTTAGTACCAAATTATATACATAGTGTATTCTGAATTCCAGGAGATTATATTACGGACTAATCAGGGAGGTAAATTTGTACTAGCGTTAAACGCATTGTGTGAACCATAGAGGTAGAATTATAACCTACTCGTGTGAACGAAGACCCATAGCACGCTATATAGGTCCAAAGATATAGCAAGGAGGTTATAATCTCATAGTCCTTGGTAATTTAGCCAGCGTGCGTCGCTCAATGTCCAACTGACTGGGGCTGACAAGGCCTGTGCATTATATATATTTAGCCTCTTCCAGGCTTCGGAAGGTAGCAGGAAAGAGTAAGAAATTGGTCGATAACATGCACCTGGGCGCGGCAAAATGTACAGCAGACCAACTCCCTCGGCATATTATCTCTCTATTTGGCCAATTTCTGATATTTCCAGCCGCCTCCCAAGCCAAAGACTGGTAAAGGCTACTGTGAGAGACTACGATGGCCATAGTTTACAAACAGGATTCAAAATGACCATTTTATGTGCTAAATGTTCTTTAGTGGCCCCAATTATTATCAAAAGAAAAACTAGTACTACCACTATGTAGCAAATCAAAGCTACCATTATGTAACATTTCACGTCATCAAGATTAAAAGTTAAAGCACGTACATGCGCTCAAAATAAACATTCTGAAAACGGAGGGATGACAAGAAACTACATGAACTGTATAATGGTATATGCAAGGAAGTTTAGGGAGATACAGGACATGGTCGTAGGTGCATGTTTTGGAGCCAGACAAGTCAATACACATCAAACGATTTTTCATTTCACTGGGCCAGGGTTAAAAGTCTATTAGAAATTTTCTTCAGATGAATTAGAACACATCTAACTATCTTCTGCCCAACAGGCAGAGCTGTTGTTCAGGTTCATAGCTGCTATGTATAAAACTACATTTCAAACCCAGAAATTTCAATTCGAGGAGTAAGAAACAAATGTTTAAAAACAAAAACTTTTGTGGTAAAGTCTGAATTTGAATGGATACATGCTGCCGTCTGCCCTCTATGCATAATTAAAAATAATTGCCTGTAATTGCCTTGAGTGGAGGTGCGAAAACAATTAATTTCATTCACAGTCATGAGGCTTGATAAAGATTGACAGGTCAAGGAAGGAAATCTACCAGAATTTAGAGTTTTAAACTTTAAAGCCCGAGACCAAACTCTTCCCAGTGGGTTACAAAGTTCAAATCGGGTGCAAACAATGCGTAAGAAGTCGGTTTCTATGAATCGGTTTTCAGAAAAACTACTTTATCCCCGTATATCTAGCTATTGGTAGATAAAGTCATACCTACCCCCTAAAATTCTACCAAAATGGACTATATTTCAAAATATTTTAAAATCTAAGCTATATTCTTCTTTTCTGGAAACCGATTCCTATAAAGTGCATATCTCTCCACATTCTCTGAAAGTTTTGTATTACAATTCTGAGCGGAAGGGTTTGGTCTAAGCCGATTTTATATAGTCACAATGATCTAATATTATTATCATTTATGGAACAATTATGCAGATTTCCGAAGGAAGAAGTAGTTATTTAGAATCAGTGGTATTTCATCTAAGTTACTTCCAAATTTGAAGTTGATTGGTCCCGCCAAATTTGAGATACATGCGATTTCACGGGTAGCTCTGTATCACCCCCATTTTAGTCCAAAGCGCGTCTTAGGTACACGGAGTATATGGCCCGTTTATTTTGTTGCTACCAGTACCTTGGGTGGCTAATTGGACCCTCTCTGGCCAATGGATACTGCCTGGCCAATTTGATACAGTCTTTAGGATTTGCTTGGAGATTACTTATAATTAGCCTGTCAACAGTTTACAGTCAGTAAGGCATCAAAGTCCATTCATATATTATTATAAAAATACAAATATCTAGATTGTCACTGTATGGGACAGGGCATGTTGTTAAACAAGAAGTTTGAAATTCCGAAACTGAGCGAGCGTAAAACTGAATGTTGCGACACTTGATTTTTCAGAACCTGGAAGTTAGTGGGTTTGCGGAAAAGGCTGGCAAGCCTGCAGGCTAGCCTGGCAGGCTTTTGGGTTTACAGAAAAGGTGGGCAGGGCTAGGGATACTTTGCAGGCTATCCTTTCTGTGCCCCAAAGGGTGTGCATGGGGGGTTGGTCTCTCATAAATTTACTTGTCTTTACAGCTATGGGTGGGCTGTTTGGGGTGGTAATATACTGCTATTAGCAACTCGAGCAAGACTTTAGTCATAGAAACTATGGTTTTATTTATGACGAAAATTCCAACTATACAATAAAATGCACAAGCAAGAACTGTTAAACTAGACAGAAGGTGAGGTGTACAAGACACTGGTGGGATGGGCCAGGAAATTATAGGATTCTGTTTACCATATACTTTTATGATTTCTTTGTACAGAGTATGGGTAACAATGTCATACATTTATGACATGACTTTGAGAATGACAGTATAATTGTTACAACTAGGAAACAATAAAACTGTTGGCAAATGTAAGGGTCAATGCCGACGATGGTAGCTTAGGTGACCTCGGTTCCGATGGGTGACCCTTTCAAGTTCATAAGATGGCCGCCGATGTAGATGTACGTACCCAGAACAAAGGACACACGAGCCAGAGCTACATTGTGACGTGACTGTATTCTCTCCTCTCCGCTTCTAGACTCTGAACTGAGTACATGGGTTTTTATACTCTTAGCCACCTACACACAGATTTCTTGGAAAAAGTGCATCATACTTCCTGTGTCAGTCATTCTAAATCACTTCCTTACTTGCCTTAGGTATTAGTGAAAAATCCCTGACCATTGTCAAATAAGGCAATGTCCAGATGTCTGGACCCTAGGTCCCCTACAGTCAGGACCCCATTAGCTCTTCCTGGGTCATTAACTACCTGTCAGTCAAAGATCTCTTACATTTCTCAGGACAAGGGAAAGTGACTCAGTACAAGAACTAGAGTTCCACGATCTCATACCTTCGCCAAATGATGTTAGCCTTTATGAGTAAGAAATTATAGATTAATCCCCCTGATTGTGAAAATAGGATCCTATATTTGCATCAATTATATCTGTTGATCATATTTAACACCAGAAGACAGTCTTATCTTATCAAAGAATGCCATTATAGCATTTCCTCATAAATTATGCAAATGAGGTCCTTATTTGAATAAGTTATGTTTAATTATGTTCACCTAAGTTCACATAACTTTTAAATATCCAAAGTATGAAATTCCAGGCAGTTACCACTATGTAAATATAACATTTTCTCATTAATTATGCAAATTCAGTCTTCATTTGCATAATCGATATCTGCCTGTATTTCTGTCGTTCTTAATTACATATGTCACAAGCTTGAATAGTCCTATCATGGAATGCAGCTGATTTATAGAATTTCCTCATTAATTATGCAAATTACATTAATATATGCATAATTGTAATATTATTATGTAAAGCATCACTTCAGCTACCTACATGCCAAAAATCACGACGATCCATCAATCGGTTCTAGAGTTATCCGCCTTTAAATATTTTTCAACTAACACCCCTGCAGTTCCAGAGCAAGCCGCTAGGGAGACCAAACTCACATCACGTCTTCCCCAGCACAAGAGCTACCTACCATCCAAATTTCGTCACCCTAGCATGTCTAGATCACGAGATATCAAAACCGGAAGTTCAGCTGCAGTACTATAACAAGCCGCTAGGGGGCCCAAAATTTAATCAGTTCCATGTCTCATGAAGACCTATCCACCTACCAAATATCAAGACAATCCATTTTAGCCTTCTTGAGTTATCGTGCTGACACACACACACACACACACAGACACACGAACGCCTACGAAAACATAACCTTCTTTGCGAAGGTAACAAGAAAGTGTTTTTTCAGCCTCGCTACTGTACAAGAAACCTAGTATATAACCTAAGATACTTATTATTATCAATACACTACAGGCTAGAGCACCCTATTACACAAATTCAATACAGATGTCATACTTGTGAGTGTGCACGTTTGTATGATTGTATATATTTGTGTAACGT